AAATGTTGAACTTGTGGTCTGAGTAAAGAATTCTGGATGGAGGCAGTGGCTAGTGAATGCGCAGCATGCATTTGGAAATTCCTTGACAGATGCAGTGAGTTTGTGGTGACGCTTTGTACTTACCTGGCTCTTAATTGAGGGCTGGAAGGTCCTAGCAGCAGCTGGTCCCACACTGTTCATCTCAGTGCTTGACTAGAAGGCCTGAAGCTTATGCCTGTTCCTCTTTGTCTGTGTGCCTTATACTCTGAGTCAGTAATGCTGAGTGAATTTCTTCTTATTCTGATTGTTCTCTCTCCAATGCTGTCTCTCTCTCTTTCTCATTCTCTAATTCTGTTTCCTTTTCCTTGTCTGTGTGCTTGTGTGTGTACACATGAATATGGATGTGCAGACTTATAGTAGGTATATATTTCCTCCCACTCTTTGGGAACTAGGGTTCTGTGTTTTGTCCTGTGTATTTACCTGTATAACAGTTTAAAGGTGATGTGAGTCCTGAGGTCTGGGAGCTCCTACTGTAAACAGCACTGTTCATTGCCTGTGTGGTGCCATTTATCTGTATATTTGTAGCTCTTTGGCAGACTAGAAAACTATGTTGATGTCTGGTTTCATCTCCAGGATTATATGTAATGATAATCTCTACAGTATTAGTTATCCAGGATTTAGAGTACCTGTTTTGAAAGTAGGAAATATATAATCACAGGTTTCTGGTGGTCAAGGACATGTGGCCTAGTCTCTTTAGAGCATAAGCTGCTAGACCTGTAGTTCAGGCTAGTTGATTGAACACAGGGAGCCAGGGTACCCTCCATCTGGATGCCAAACTTCTGCTGTCCAGGATAACAAGTTTCCAAAGGTGGAGAAGATGCGAGTATGTAGAAGGAAGAAATTGGCCTTCCAGGATTGGGGTAGGACACGACCCAGCCTGAACTCATGTGTTACTAAAAGCCATGTTCATGGAGTTCTGTCTTCCTGGGGCCAGACGCTATTACAGGCCAAATCCACTGTATGAAAAATTGAAGTTAAAGGAGAAGATGGTCCCGTCATTCCTGAACAAATTAGAGACTGATAACATTGACTCCTGTGAGAACTTCCAGGAGCACAAGAAAGAGATTAACTTCTATAGGTAAGTACAGGTCATGGAGGCTTCCACTTGTTCAATGGCCATTTCTGCATTCCTTTGATTCTGGAATGGAGGGTCTGCAGGTCTGATCTCTCCCTTCGGCTTCTTAACCATCAGTGTACCTTGGGCCCTTTGGACTCATGTTTCTTCAATCTGTAAGAGAAATTTAGCCTTGCCAGGGTTATCCAGGCATCCTGAGGAGCCTCTAAGATAATTAAATGAGAGGGATCTTTTGCAGTACTGGACCTCTGGGGCTCAGGCAGGGTTTTACAGATGTGATTGTGATGGAACACATGGGTAGAATGCCCTCCCCTTAGTTCTCCTGACCTCCACTGAGTGTATTTGCAACCTACTAATTGAAGTTGCTGCAATACAATGGGCTGCCATGGAGATACCTCTTTTTTGTGAGAGGAAGAAAGATGGAGATACCTCTTTCTTTTGGAGAGACATGGAGCCTTATTGGAGTTTGGGCTGCAGACATGATTAGTTCTTATCTGCATTGGCTGTTTGCAGTTTGTGCAGCTGTCTTGGATATACTGAAATGTATTGCTCTAGGTCTTCATGGGAACGTGGATCCTGGTGGGGTAACGGCACCTGTAAGTAGGAATGGCGGGAGGAGTCTGCAGGATCTTAATATGCAGAGTGTGTTTCCAGAAACCTGCACAGTCGGCTCCTGTTGCAGTCCTCTCTTGTAAAGAAGTCATTGGTCCAAGTGAAGCAGGATTACAAGGAAGTGAAGGCTGATTGGTACCTCCTCCAACAGTACTTGACTGAGATGAACCTGACTGTTGAAGATGAACAGGAGAAGACCAGCAACCTCCAGAAACAGCAACATCAGGTAGAGACAATCAGCTTATTCAGACTAACCCTGTCTGTTATCATTTGCCTATTGGATCCATCTTTGCATTCATCCACCATGTTTTAAATCCACACTCCCAACCAGCCACCCACTTCATGGAATGTAGATGTTCATTACTCTGTGTATGCACAAGTATTCTGGGAACTTTAACTCTTGGGAGACACTGAATTATTGGCAAGTGTACCTTGCTACTCTGCTTGAAGCTGAAGTCTAGTAAGCGTAACAGATGAATGACAGGTCACACTCTTTCATGTCCTCATGATAGGAGGGTTGCTAAGCAGAGCTTTGAGAAAGTTCTATGCCTTGTGACAGGAGTTGTGCAGGAGTCATGTGACCTCCAAGGTAGGCATCACCTTGCAGGGAGTAAAGTCAAATGCAAATATCAAATGAGTGCTTCTCATTGTCAGTGGTCTGGGTGGCATGTGGCCTTCTCCTTTCTCCTGCAGCCCAATGAAGTCTCTTCCCATTGGCCAGGTTTTGGTTTGCACTGATAGAAGTCTGGCTGGGAGCTTGTCAGCCCATGTGTTTGTGAGCTTTGCTTGATATTTTGCCCTGCTTGCAGATTTAGCAGCAAGGGTTTCAGTTAAAAGATCAATGTTGTAGTCCAGTTGAGGTGGTGGGAGGCAGCAGCTGACATCTGACATGCATGTCCCAACCAAGCCTGTGTCTTCATAACTGCCTTCTACCAGGTCTCAGAAGCTGCAAGAGAGCTGGAATTGGCCACATCCCAGCAGGAGAGCCTCTTCCAGAATGAGTTGCCACCTCAGGAGCCCCCTGCTGAGCTCTGTCCTCAACAGCCACAGACTTCTTTGGATGAATCTCCTTCCTCATGGATCATTTCCACAGTGTGAATGGGCCCAAACTATGTAGCCAGTGAGACAGCCAGGCTGATCCATGGTCTTTTTCTCTTTCCTGTGTGACCCCTTGAGAGAGAACTGAGGTGACTGCAGTACCAGCAAATGCTCAAGAGGAGAAACTGGCTATAGTCTGTGCTGCTAAATGTGCAGTGAGGGAATGTCACCTCACAATTTTTTCTGTTAGAGTTTTCGTTGAAATTTTCTTTTGCATTGTTTTGTTTTTCCTTATGTTATTGAGCTATTACATGTTCTTGTTATTGGTTTTGATTTTGCTAACGATTTTCACAATTTATATTAACCTTCATATTAAAACTTGTTTTGTAAATTTGATTTCTTATGAATAAAAAGTCGATCTGTAACTCTTGACTCTTTTTTTTTTAATTTTATTTAACATTTCTTTTACACTCCAATTTTTACCCCTCTCCATGTTCACCCTCTGATGGTTTAACATACTGTTCTGTAAGAGTCTGCATGCACCCTCAACAGCTTCCTATTTTGATAACTTCCATTTTTCTCTGAGTGGAAAACCTCAAAGTGTTCAGGAAGTCTCTGTTCTGACATTTTACAGCTATTTGGCATATCACCTTTGCTTCCTGAAAATGAGTGCTATAAAAATCCCATGTGAGTGAGGCTTTAGTTCCTGGTGCCAGGCTGTCACTGGCTAAGAGTTAATTACAGTGTCCCGACCTCATATCTGTACACTTGCCCTTGCATGCGGCCACTGAGCTTTACACTTCCAGCCAGAGGCCAGCAACACCTGCAGCTGCCTCTGCCACAGGTTTTATGCTGCAATGCTCAGCCTTGGGGAAAGGACTTCTCATTAAAAATCAAAGATCCTCTGTGAGAGCACCCTTGGGTATAAGGGATGATGACCATAATCTGGCCCCTCTTCCAGCAGAGACTTGAGGTGAAGGGCCTGAGGCCTCAGGCTCGCCCTTCCAGATAGACAGCATCTGCTAGTGTGGGTTCAAGAGGCCAGCTGTTTTCCTCCTCTTCTTCTTCTTTTTGTTTTTTTGTCAGTGATCTGACATCTATAAGGAAATTCATCCTATGTTCCTCTCACAGGCGTCTGAAACATCAGCATTGTGTGTACTCCTATGTAACTGAATGACAGTTGCTCTGAAGGAAATGCTCACGTGCATCAGGCCATCTTTGCCTCTGGCAGGGAAAAAAATCATTTAACAGTATAATTTTAATTATCCCATTCTGTATTTTTTCTTTCATTGGAAGATCCTGCCAGTCTCTGCTCTCTATACTTTCCTTCAAAGCCCTCACACATCACATATGATTAGTATGTACTTACATACTTTTTAAGAGTATGAAAACATCCAAAGGCTTTTAATAAGACTTTCCATTTCCCTTTTGCAGCAAAGAGGCAAAATCAGTTCAACAC